CATAGGAACCCTGATTTATATATAGCCAGTCAGTCAGAAATTACAATTGGTATCAGAAGTTGGGGGCAGTCTTGTGAGAATGAGCCCTCAACATGTGGGATCTGATGCTAACTCCAGATAGATAGTGGCAGGATGGAGTTAAACTGTAGGACACTCAGTTAATACCTACAAAAGAACTGTGTAGTGTGTGAAGAAACCCTCCTACGTATCTGTTATCAGAAGTCCCTGTCGAGTGGTATGTGAGAGTAGGAAAAACACTTTGGTTTTTCCCGTCTCTATCAGCTTCTTTCACTAAGTATAAAGTGTTCAAGGTTCACCCATGTTGCAAGCACATATCGGTGCTTCATTGATTTCTGCTGCCAAATGTTATTTCACTGTATGGCTATCCCAGAATGTGTTGATCTATTCATCAGTTGATGAACATTTGGGTTGTTTCTACTTTTTGGCTGTTACATATAATGCAGCTATGAAATTCATGTACACTGTTTGTGTGAACATATGCTTTCCTTTCTCCTGGGTATATACATAGAAGTAGAATTTCTGGGTCCTGTGGTAACTCTATTTTAAACCTTTCAGGAACTGCCAGACTCTTTTTGGCTGCACCATTTTAGATTCCTATCAGCAGAGTGTAAAGATTCCAATTTCTCCACATCCTTATCAACACTTTTTATTATTTGCTGTTTTGATCATAGTTATCCTAGTTTATGTGAAGATTTTGATTTGCATTTCCAACGTGATTGAAGATGAGCATCTTTTCATGTGTTTACTGGTCATCTATGTATCTTCTTTGAAGAAATGTTTGTTCAGGTCCTTTACCTATTTTAACATTGGTTTATGTGTCTTTTTTATAATTGAATTGTAAAAGTTCTTTTTTTTTCCTTTGCTTTTGTGTTTTTTGTTCGTCTGTTTTGTTTTGCTGTTGTTTGTTTTGGGACAAGGTCTCTCTCTGTTACTCAGGCTGGAGTGCCACAGCCTTGATCTCCCAGGCTCAATAAATCCTCCCACCTCATCCTTCTCAGTAGCTGGGACTACTGGTGCACACCAGTACGCCCAGCTAATTTTTGTCATTTTTATAGAGACGGAGTTTCACCATGTTGCCCAGACTGTTCTCAAAGTCCTGGGCTCATGCAATCTGCTCACCTCAGCCTCCCAAAATGCTGGGATGACAGGTGTGAGCTGCTGTGCCTGGCCAGAGTTCTTTATGATTTAGATATAAGCCTTTTGTTAGATATAATGATTTGCACAATTTTTATCTCATTTTGGAGGCTGTCTTTTCACTTTCTTAACGATGTCCTTTGAAGCACACAGTTTTTCATTTTGAAGATATCCAATTTTGCTATTTTTTTCTTTTGTTGCTTGTGCTTTTGGAATTTTATTGCAGTGTTGTTTTGAAAGCTATTTTTTCCTAGCTTCCTATTCAGGGTTAGAAAAATTGCCTGATTTCTATTTCCTGCCCAAAATTACTTAGATTAGTATAAGCTAATACTTACTGAGCACTTACTATGTGCCAGGCTCTTGTTAAGAGTTCAGACAGCTTGGGTAATCAGTCCAGGATCTCAGGGCTGGGAAGGATGAATTCAGCTAATCTAATTCTGGAGCCCGTACTCTCAATCACTTTACTGTCTTACTGATTGGGTCTTCCTCATCTTGACATTTGACTCATTTTTGCAGAAGGAAAATGGTGCATTTGCTGTTGGTGCTGGACAAGTTATTCTGCCTATGTTCTTTGTTTTCTTCCCTTTTCTGAGGTGAGTCCTCCGCCCCACCCTTTCTAGGATTGCCAGAATCTACAAGCTGCCCAAAACACACATGTACTCATCCAAAAAGGCAAAACAACACCCTCATTCATGACACAGAATACTCAAAGCCCTGGGGTCACAGCTGCAGTCTCTCTCTGACCCTCGCCTCACCCGAACTGTGCTGAGTCTTTCCTTTGGTTGTGATAGCCTAAGGTGTGACATCCAGGGACAGCTTCGACACCCCTCAGAAGTAAGCGCCATGCTGTGACTTGCCTTGGGGTCCACAAGAAGGGCCCAGGTTCAAAATCCTTTAACTGTGGGTTGACTGAAACACGATCACGTGGAGCAGTAGACAACGAAAGCAGGTCAGACTGCCTTCTCAGCTGTTTCCTTTCACTTCGGCAATATCCACATTTCAACTTCAAGTTTATTATTATTATTTTAAATAAGAGGTCAGATTTACATAGCAGGAGCCCAAGAACTTGTTACTCCACACTGTACCCCCCTCATTCTGCAGTGTCCAATTCCTATGAAATCCATTTGCATCGACTTCAGAAGTATCTCTCAGCCTCCCTCTCCCACTGGATCTTTCTCACCACGGCATCAGTCCAGATCTTTATCATCTCATTTCTCAGTCTTCTTTTATCTTTAGACAGGTCTCGCTGTCACCCAGGCTGGAGCGTAGTGGCCTGGTCATGCGATTGCAGCCTCAACCTCCTGGGCCCAAGCAATCCTCCTGCCTCAGTCTCCTGAGTAGCTGGGACTACAAATGCATGCCACTGTACCCGGCTAAATTTTTTGTAGACAGGGTCTCAATATGTTGCTGAGACTGGTCTCCAACACCTGGGCTCAAGCACTCCTCCTGTCTCAGCCTACCAGATAGCTGGAACTATAAGTGCACACTGTTGTGCCTAGCTGATTATTTTTCTTAGTTTTTGTAGAGATGGGGTCTCACTATGTTGGCCAGTCTTTGTTTCTTAGTCTTTTCTTCAGTCCAATTGAATTGAATTGAATGATCTCTTCATGGTTGTCTTCCTCAGTAGATCATGATTCAAGGTCAGAGACCAAAAATGATTAATTTGCCTAGAACCTGACATAGAACCTGCCATCTAAAGGCATTTAATTACTATTTGTGAAAGAAATGGTGAGTACCTTAATTTCCCCACTGCTTACAAGTCCTCACAAGAGGCCTTGTAATAAAAACAATTAAGTATCTTGTGACTCAGGTGTGTCAGGAATGCCTTCCTATTCTGCTATGCCGACAAGTTTGGCTAGTTCCCAAGGTTTAATCAAGGCAAAGCGGGTATCTTATCTCCCATAATTAGAGAGTCATCTGCTAGCCTGGGGAGGGGCAAAAAGGTATGATACTCTCTCATCACTCATCACAAGGCAGACACTTCTGTAACCAAAGAGAAGTTAGCAAGAGAAAAGCATGACGAATGTATTTAACAAAGTTTTAAATGGCATGGGAAACTTCAGAAAGGAAGACCCAAAGACCCAGGAAAAGCTGGGTGTTCTTACGCTCAGGTTTGCTGAGGAATGGACACCCACATAGAAATGAGTTCGGACAATAAGGGCATGCTGTAATAATGGTAATCAGCTGAGAAGAACGCAGCAAGGCCTGTCCTGATTCTTCTTGGCCTCGCTAACTAGCATTTCTTTCTCTGGATATAGGACAAGACACTTGTCTCATGAAGATCTTCAGGGAAGAGGAGAGAATTTCGGAGAGTGACATTTCTAGGTTTCATGGCCTGCTTCAGGGGAGAGGAGTTAGAATTTCTCCAACCCATCTTAAGGAAGATGTATTCTAGTTTTATGAGTTGCTTCAGGGGAGAAAGAGAGTCTGGAGATAGGAGGGTGGGAGAAGGTCAGAAATATGTTCTCCTGAGGCGCTTGCAATCTCCTTCAGTTCAAAGTACTCAGCATGTCAAAGCCTCAGACTTTAGGCCATTGTGTTTTAGCCCCATCAGGAGTAAACTTTTTATCTTAGTTATGGGGGAGAGTCTGGCCTGTATCCCTCTGGGACCCACCTCTGCCTGTGACCACCAAGTGATCAGGATATTTCTCAAACACATCCATACCAATTTCCTCAAGTTCAAACACCCTCTGGACACTTTAATTTTTTTCTAAAAAATGTAGATAAGCATTGCAAAATCATTCAGAGGAGGAGGACCAACAGTTAGAAGCCTCTCTGAGAAACCTGCTCCCTACTACCACATTAGGAAAGGAGGTGAGCAGACAGGACAAGGACTCACAATTTAGACCTTTACAAATATCCCAAATGGCTGTTACCTTGCTCTCTGTCTCCTCAAGCTTTCTGCTATCCTCCTCTTTGATCTTCCCTCTGCGATTCCTTTCTAATGATACCATCCCTTTGTCCCAGAAATCTGTCCCATTCTGTCCCATTTCCCACAAGAGAAAGAGGTCCCAGTTGCTGCTGTCTCTTATTAAGGGCAAAGATTAATGCCTTGGGCTTCTGAAAGGCAGATTTCTTTGGTTCATCCTTCCCCTTGCTCTAGAGTAGGAAGAATGTGGCCAGTCCTGTAGTGGAACTTCTTGAAATGCTTTTTCCCCTTGGGCATGAGAGCTAATGGGGAGGGGGGCAATTTGGTTTGGAAATAACTAAGGAAAAACATTTCCCCATAATCAGTATTGCTCATCTTCCAAAGACAATGGGGGCCAGTAGCACAGGAGCAAAGCATTTTTCAGACTTTTGTTTGTTTTTGGAGCCAAAATCTCACTATGTTGCCTAGATTGGCCTCCAACTCCTGGGCTCAAGTGATTCCCCTGCCTCAGCCTCCTGAGTAGCTGGGATTACAAGCCTGTACTCCAGCCCCAGGGTTGGGCTTTTTTCCCCAGGATGTCAATATGTTCTTCACCTAACCCTATTATATTATTATTGTGGTAAAGGAGATTTTGTTGTCTTCCTGGACCCTTTTCAGTACAAAGGTCTCTCATTAGTTGAGAATATTTGTTTACTTTCTACTATAGAGTTTTTTTATCCTAAAAACTCTCCCTAGATGGAGTGGGGGTGGGGAGAATCTCCCTTATCATGCCAAGCAAACTAAATAGAAACTTGAAAGTTTTTATATAACCGGAGTGGAGTGGCTCAAGTGCCTGTAAACTCAGCACTTTGGGAACCTTAGATCAGAGGATTGCTTGAGGCCAGGAGTTTAAAACCAGCCTATGCAACATAGTAAGACCCTCTTCTTTCCAAAAAAGATAGACAGAAAGAAATTACCTAGATGTGGTGGCACACACCTGTAGTCTCAGCTACTCAGGAGGCTGAGGCAGGAGGATCGCTTCAGTCCAGGAGTTCAAGGTTACAGTGAGCTATGATCATGCCACTGTACTCCAGCCTGGGTGACAGAACAAGATCCTGTCTTTCTCTAAAATAAAATAAAAACAAACACTAAATAATTTTAAAAATTTTAAAAGAAGTTTGCATATAGAATTAGCAAGATAATTATGAAGGCAGTGTTTATGGATTTGTAATTGCCTGACAGGTCCTTACCCACTGCACAGGTAAATTCAGTTCACTGAGATGGTATTATTGCACTAAAGAGTTTAATTAACACAAGACCAACTAAGCAGAACTGGAATTATTACTCAAATCAGTCTCCCCAGCAACTCAGAGGCTTGGGTTTTTATGGATAATTTGGTGGGCAGGGAGGAGTGCTGCTGATTGGTTAGAATGAAATCACAGGGGTGTGGAAAACAATGCTGTGCACTGGGTCAGCCTCTGGGTGGGGCTATAGGACTGGGTAAATCCTGACCCTCTGATCTGGGTGGGTCAATCAGTTGCCAGAATCAAAAATCTGAAAAAAAAATGCAAAAGAACAATTTTAGGTTCTACAATAGTGATGTTACCTACAGGAGCAACTGGGGAAGTCACAAATCTTGTACCTCTGACCACATGACTCCTGAGCAGTAAGGGATTAGAGAAAAAAATGCCTGTAGTTTAGCAGAATTCAGGTCCTTATTCTTGGGACCTCTCATTAGTCTTACAATGGTGGTTTCAGTCCCTTAACAAGGAGGGGATTACTTTTAGGGAGGGACTATTATCATCTTTCCTTTAAAGTTAAACTATAGGCTGGGAGTGGTGGCTCATACCGTAATTCCAGCACTTTGGGAGGCCGAGATGGGAGTATCGCTTGAGACCAGGAATTTGAGACCAGCCTGGTCAAAATAGCAAGACCTCATCCCCATTTTAATTAAAAAAAAAAAAAAAAAAAAGGTAAACTAAATTTCTCCCATGGTTAGCTTAACCTACGCCCAGCGATGAGGAATGACAGTCAGGCTGTGAGGCTAGAAGTGAGATGGAGGCAGCCACGCCAGACTTGTCTTGCTGTCATAATCTCTGCAAAGGTGGTTTCAGATTCAGTGCCTTGCTCTACAAAGTGTCCTTTAAAAACTGATGTCTTCAATTTCAGAGGAAATTGATTTCTAAGCAACATGTGCCTTTTTGCCTAGGAGCTAAAAGCTTTCAACTCCTCCTCTTCTTCCATCTCACAATCTGCAAGATGAAAGGAAAAAAATCTAAGGTTTCTAGCAGATTTTGGGAATTTATAATTCAACGAATGCCTACTAAATATCTACCAGGTGCAGTATTGGGTGGTGAAAATGCAATGTGTATCATTTAGGCAAAATTCTCATGGTTTCTACAACCTTGCTCTGAGCAATAAAATACTAGAACAAAGGTTAACACAAATCATATGATTTCTTTTGCCATGTCAACCTAACAGCAAAAGAAGAAAACACTTCTCCAAAATGACTTATCCGAAAGACCCTAAGCCCTATTGGGTATTGTCAAGGAATAGGTCAGTGTGGTTCAGAAGTTAATAGAAAAGCATTCCAAATTCCTTCTGTTCTTTCCTTCAATCGTGACTTCACTTGACCTTGACAAAGAGACGTCTTCAAGGAAAAACAACTTTGAAAGGAAAACGGAATTTGAAGAGTAATTTAATCTTAACCATCCTTTCAACTGGAAATTTGAGCATATAAACAGTTTCAGAAAAATGTGTTAGAGGTGTAGCTGGAAAACAAAATGTAACTTCTTCTTAAACTTCTGCAAATGACAGAATTATTCATAGGAATCAAAAGGGAACAATCTCTGAAGGAGAAACACTGCTATTTTACCAGTGGGCCTTCAGAAATACCCTCACTTCCCACTCTTCTCTGTTCTAAGAAATCATCTACCTCAACTAGAAAACTCCGGGCATCGGCAAAATGGTCTATTTAACTTTCATTGTAATGTAAAACATTATTTGCCAGACTAGTTACATTGCTTTTCCAGATATCCCTTTTTCACCTAACACATTATTACCAAAAATATTCTAAAGTCTCAAATGCATTTGCCCTTCTGTCTTCATTTTAATGTCAGATTCTAAACGAAATTTGCATCAGAATACACACAAATGAATGTTTTAGACGTTACCCTTTTCCATTTGTCTGAAATAGAAGTTGTTATTTTTTGTTGTTTTACCTCTCAGGAAATGGTGTCACCTGCTTTATGTTGATCAAAACCCGAATCTAGTTGATACTCTTGATTTCTCTCTCTCACCTCCACTATATTCAATCCATCCATATGTCCTATTGGCTCTGCCACTAAATCAGAATCCAAGTCTTCTACTTTCCTCCATTTCCATTCCTTTTTTTTTTTTTTTTTTTTTTAACTTTTTGAAGTGGAGGCTAGCTTTGTCACCCAGGCTGGACTGTAGTGGCATGATCTTGGCTCACTGCAACCTCCACCTCCCAGGTTCAGGTTATTCTCCTGCCTCATCCTCCCAAGTAGCTGGGACTACAGGTGCCTGCCACCACACCTGGTGAATTTTCATATTTTCAGTAGAGACAGGGTTTCACTGTATTGGTCAGGCTGGTCTCGAACTCCTGTCCTCAAATGATCTGCCTACCTTGGCCTCCTCCCAAAGTGTTGGGATTACAGGCATGAGCCACCACGCCTGGCCTCTCCATCTCCATTTCTACTGTTCTGGTTTGATATGGTTTGGCTCTATGTCCCCACCCAAACCTCATTTCAAATTATAATACCCACATATCTAGGGAAGGAGGTGACTGGATCATGGGGCAGTTTCCCCCATGCTGTTCTCGTAATAGTGAGTTCTCACAAATTCTGGTGGGTTTTTTTTTGGTTTGTTTGGTTTTTTTTTTTTGAGACGGAGTTTTGCTCTTGTTACCCAGGCTGGAGTGCAATGGCGCGATCTCGGCTCACCACAACTTCCGCCTCCTGGGTTCAGGCAATTCTCCTGCCTCAGCCTCCTGAGTAGCTGGGATTACAGGCACGCGCCACCACGCCCAGCTAATTTTTTGTATTTTTAGTAGAGACGGGGTTTCACCATGTTGACCAAGATGGTCTCGATCTCTTGGCCTCGTGATCTTCCCGCCTCGGCCTCCCAAAGTGCTGGGATTACAGGCTTGAGCCACCGTGCCCGGCAATTCTGGTGGTTTTATAAGGGGCTCTGCCCTCCCTGCTTCACTCTTCTCCCTCCTGCTGCCTTGTGAAGAATTTGCCTGCTTCCCCTTCACCTTCTGCCATGATTGCACGTTTCCTGAGGCTTCCCAACCACATTTCCTGATAGGCCTGTGGAACTGTGGTCAATTAAACCTCTTTCCTTTATAATTACCGAGTCTCAGGTAGTATTCTTTATAACAGTGTGAAAACAGACTAATATATGGTTTAAGTCATCAATATCTTGCACAAGGACTACTACATTAGTTTCTTAAAATCTATTCTTCCTCCACTCTTGCTCCTCTAAAATTCATTGTTCCCAGAGTTTTCATGTTGGCCTTCAAGAGCTTACATTTGATCATGTTTCTCTTCATCTCCTTGAAATCTTCCAATGTCTTCTAACATACTAAAAATGCAAACTTTATTTCATGGCCCATAATGTGGTTTACTTCTCCGACCTTATCACATATCCTTATCCCTCACTCACTACTCCCAGCCTCTACAAAACTCTGTTTCTCAAACCCAAACACCAAACCTTTTCCCACCTCAACACCTCAGCAATTGCTGTTTCTTCTTTCTGGAACTCCCTTCTCCAGACCCTTTTCATTATCCTTTCTCTACAACATGTGTTTCATGGACTAAGCAGCATAAGCATCATCTGGGACCTTATTAGAAATGCAGATTCTTAGGCCAGACCCCTCACCTACTAAATCATAGTCTACATTTTAACAAGATCCCTGGGTGATTGATATGCAAGTTATTAATCCCAGTTGTCACATCTTCAGAAAGAATTACCTGTCCCCAATCTAAATTAGCATCCCAAATCACTCTCTGTTACACCATGTATTTGATTCTTTTCATAGCAATTAACTTTAGATGAAAATACCTTATTTGCGCAGGGTGTAGTGGCTCACACCTGGTAATACCAGCACTTTGGGAGGTTGAGGTGGGTGGTTCATCTGAGTTCAAGACCAGCCTGACCAACATGGCGAAACCTCGTATCTCCTAAAAAAAAAAAAAAAAAATCTTGGGAGTGGTGATGCATGCCTGTAATCCCAGCTATTTGGCAGGCTGAGGCAGGAGAATTGCTTGAACCTGAAGGCAGAGGTTGCAGTGAGCCAAGATTGAGCCACTGCACTCCAATAATAAAATACCTTATTTGCTAACTAACATCTTGTTTTTTCATCACTAGAATGTAAGCTCCATGAAAATGGGTTGTGTTTATATTGTCCACTACTGTTTCATCATCTAGCCTGTCTCATCAATAAATATTTAATAGCTCAATAAACATTCAAATACTGTACCTATTTTAATCTCATTGATCAAAGAGATGGTTGAAAAAGTTTTTAAAAATTTTTGTTTATCTGGCTTTTTTCTGACCAAATTGCCAGCCAGAAACATGAGTCATATCAATTGTTTTAGCATCAATCATTTGGAGTACCTTAACTGAATTTAAGGAACAAAGGAAGAAGGTTGACCTTGGAAAATGAGATGGGAATAAAGATGGCATCACTAAGAATTACAAAAAATACCACTGCAGAAGCAAGTAAAATCAGATTACAGTGGACTTCCCAACATAGTGTGAGTTATGCTAGTTTCTCACCTTCCAGAGCATGTAAACACTGAAGATTGGAGGTTTACATTTCCTACTGTATTGCATAGAATACATCACCAGTTCGTAGTGTTAAGAAGGAAAAACTTCTTAATAACATCCAAGGTGGGGCACGGTGGCTTGTGCCTGTAATTCTAGCACTTTGGGAGGCTGAGGTGGGAGGATAGTTTGAGCCCAGGAATACAAGACCAATCTGGGCAACATAGCAAGTCCATCATGTTTGTAAAAAATTTTAAAAATTAGCTGGGTGTGGTGGCACATTCCTGTAGTCCCAGCTACTTGGGAAACTAAGGTGAGAGGATTGCTTTAGCCCAGGAGATCAAGGCTGCAGTGAGCCATGATTATGCAACTGTATTCCAACCTAGGTGACAGAGTGAGACCCTGTCTCAAAAAAATAAATAAATAACATCCAATTAAGAAAATTAATCTCTTGACAATTTACTTTCCTCATTCATCAGCAAGCCAAATGTACTGCGTTGATAGAATATGCACATATCAACAGGTGAAATAAAAACAGTTGAGTTAGTTTCTGCACCATTTCCATTGTTCTGGTAAGAACAACTCATAAGCATGTTCGTGCCACAAAATATGAACTGTGTAATTTCACTAATTCTACATACAAATTATATTTTCTCTTATATTTGCATTTTAAAAGAAGATTGTACAATATACAGATAAGTGGTAAAATGTATGCTAATAATTTAAAATTTTTTTCTTTACTTAGAATGATATTTGATAACCAATTAAAAACATTGTGACAAGAGAAACAATGAGGGAGAAAGGATAAAACTTTTTATTTTAGAAAATGACTTCTTTTCATTTGGCTTGGTGTGGTAATCCACACCTATAATCCCAGAACTTTGGGAGGCAGAGATAGAGGGATCACTTGAGACCAGGAGTTTGAGGCCAGTCTGGCAACATAGCAAGACCTTGTCTTAAAAAAAAAAAAAATTAGCCCCTTGACCTGCTGTTGCCTGTCCATAGTTCTAGCTATTGTGGAAGTTGAGGTGGGAGGATCCCTTTAGGGTAGGAGTTTGAGGCAGCAATGAACTATGATTGCACCACTGCACTCCAGCCTTGGCAACAAAGCAAGACCTTGTCCCTAAAAAAAAAAATTATATATATACACACACATATAAATATATATACATATATGTGTGTGTATATATATGTATGTATGTATATATATATATATATAGAGAGAGAGAGAGAGAGAGAGAGAGAGTAAAAGAAAGAAAATGACTTCTCTAACCTGTAACTTGCTTCTAGCTATAGTCTACAAGCTGTCCCAAGGAGCTTTCCTTAAAGGGACCAAAGCTTCTAACCACCCCCAGAATTAGCAAAGTACCTTTTGAAAGTACTGTGTTGACTATTTTCTCCAGTCGGGTATCACTTTTCTTAAATATTAAGTTTGACTTGTTAACCAAACCTTCTCAAGGTGGAATAGCAGCACAAAGTTTGAGAGGAGATTGTTCTCTGCTTGCTCCAGGCTGAGATCAAGGTTTATTCAGGCCAGAACAACTTGGTAACCACAGGTTAGATACGCAGATTTAAAGTTTAACTTTATGCAAACAGTGTAACACAATCCAGGGACAAGGTCCATAAAGAAGTGTCCTGACACCTTCACCTTTTTGTGTCTTGATGACTCTGGATCATTGAGACCTTTAGGTTTTGGCCTCCATGGAGAGAGATCAGAAAAATTAAAAATGCTTTCTTTTCCTCTTGGCCCCATGGCACAAAGCTAGCTGGCTAACAAAAACAATGAACAGAGCCTCCCAAGCACAAAACCCTGGGGAGAGAAATGAAATGGAGTGAGAAGGCATTTCACCTGGGGTTGCATGATGGCTGGTAGAAACCCTGGGATGTGAAGTCACAACCTCACTTCCTATTAGCTATGTGACCTTAGGCAAATCATTCCCCTGTCTAGGCCTCAGTTTCATTTATAAAATGGGATTAACGATATTTGCCCTGACTGCCTAGTGAGATTGTTGTAAAAAGCAAGACAAGATCTTTTAGGGGAAAGTGCTATTTAACAGTAAAAGCATGCATAACGGTATAAGATCTAAAATGATGCATTCTGGAAAGCATTTTCAAATTCATGTATTCAGTTGTTTAACAGATATTTATTAGGCACCTACAACAGGCCAGGTTCTATTCTAGGTGTTGGAGATAAATGGGGGAACAAAAACAAATAAATATTTCTCTTTCTATAGGATTTGTAGTTAGCTGAGGATAAAAATTATGAGTAAAACAAGAGCGAGGTTGCAATTTTAAATCGGATGGTGTGGCAGCCTGTTAGAATCGTGGTCCCTCATAAATCATGCCTTCCCATGTCTGCACACCCTCAAAATGGACTCTGTCAGTTTCTAACTTGCCAATCAGGACCCAAGGCCCTGAGAGATCTTGAAGCTTCCACTTTTTTTTTTTTAAGAGACAGGGTCTCTCTCTGTTGCCCAAGCTGGAGTGCAGTGGCATGATAAAAGCTCACTGCAGCCTCAAACTCCTGGGCTCAAGAGAGCCTTCTGCCTCAGCCTCGCAAGTGGCTAAGACTATAGGCATGCACCACCACGACTGGCTAACTTATTTTTTGTAGAGACAGGGTCTGGCTATGTTGGCCAGTCTGGTCATAAACTGAAGCTTCCACTTTTGAAAATTGTTGCTGTTGTGTAAGGAATCCCAGACTAGACCAAAGAAGGATGAGATACATGAAAAGAAAGGCCCCACCAACATCAGCACCAAGGCTCCAGCCATGCAAGTGAGGCAGTCTTACACCCTCTGGTCCCAATCCAGCTGTCAGATGACTGCTGCCTCCCTAGATGACCCTGGGAACCTAGTTGTTAGAAATAATAAATCAGTGTTTTTAAGAGAAAGCCTCTGTGGCAAGGTAATACTTGAGCAACAACTTGAAGAAGGAAGCTGTTGTGGACTGAATGTTTGTGTTCTCCCCCAACTTTTATTTTGAAGCCCTAACACCCTGTGTGGCCATATCTGGAGATTGAGCCGACAGGGAAATACTAAAGATGAAATAAGGTCATAAGGATGGGGTCTTATCTGATAGAGTTTGTGTTCTTTTTTTTTTTTCTTTTCTTTTTCCTGAGATGGAGTCTCCCTCTGTCACCCAGGTTGGAGTGCAGTGGCGCTGTATCAGCTCACTGCAACTTCTGCCTCCCGGGTTTAGGCAACTTTCTGCCTCAGTCTCCTGAGTAGCTGGGATTACAGGCATGTGCCACCACGCCCGGATATTTTTTTTTTTTAGTAGAAATGGGGTTTCACCATCTTGGCCAGGCTGGTCTTGAACTCCTGACCTCGTGATCCACCTGCCTCAGCCTCCCAAATTGCTGCGATTACAGGCTTGAGCCACCGCACCCAGACTGATAGGGTTAGTGTCCTTATGAGAAGAGACACCACAGAGCTCTCCCAAGTCCCTGGTCTTCCCAATGCACTCATGGAAAAAAGGCCAGGTTGGGGACATAGCAAGTAGGTAGCTGATTGCAAGCCAGGAAGGAAGACTTCACCAGAAACCAAATGGATCGGAGCCTTGCTCTTGTACTTCAGCCTCTAAAACCGAGAAAATACATTTCTGTTGTTTAAGCCATTCAGTCTATGGTATTTTGTAATGGCAGCCAGGGCCTACTAATACAGAAGCTATGCTGAAGTTTACCTGAAGCTGCGAAGGCCAGCTAGAAGGCTGTGGTACTGGAGCACAGTAAAAAAGGACAGAATTGGAGGACATGGGGTCAGAGAGGTAAGGGGGATGCAAATCGACAGGCCTTTGAAAGACTGCCTTTTACTCTTTTATTCTGTGTTAAAAGAAAGTCAATGTGGAGTTTTGAAGGGTGGAGTGACATATTTTCAAAGGCCACGCATTTCTGCAACATTTGATTTTTGTGTAACAATGAACATGTGTTATTTCTGTAATCAGGAAAAAAGGAATCAGAACACTTAGAAGCCTACATAAGAATAAGCAAACAAGTATAAGCTGGGACCTTTAATGCAAACTTGTAGGGTACAAAGGAAAGGGAGAAGAGGGAGAAAAAAATAAAAGGGTGGGAAGAAGAGATTGTAGCTGACGAGAAGTACAAGTCCCCGCAGGCCACCATCCTTGAATTAGCTGAGAACCGAGATACCTGTATTCTCCTGCCTCGGCCTCTTGAGTAGCTGAGATTACAGGTGTGTGCCACCATGCCCGGCTAATTTTTATGTTTTTAGTAGAGATGGGGTTTCACCATCTTGGCCAGGCTTAAGCCCACTCTTAATTGCACCTCTGCAGAATGGCATCTGACAACAGATGGGAGTAGGGAATGGAGGGGACAAGAACAGAAAGCAAAGCATGGATTGAATCGTTTTTGCTAGGGATCAAGTACATCTGATTTACTTCACAACCGTGCATGTTGCCTGGCTTATATGAAGTAAGAGCTCGGTTAATATTTCTTGAAGAAATGACTGGTTTGACCAGTCTCCTTAAGTTATTCTGCTTTCCCAGTCTCCCCATTTCCACCCTTTTTTTGTTGGTACAACTGAATTCTAAAGGGCTTTTTTTTTAAACAAAGAGTTGGTGGAGTGGAGGGTTGATATTTAATATAACACAACAGCAAAAGTCTGCTCTATTTAAATCCTGCATGCCTCATGGTCTGTTTCTAGGTTTAAAAATGCAACAGATAGAACTAAATCTTAAGTAAAGTTGAGATCTCACAGTTTCTCAGATAATCCTTTATGTCTCATCATTGTTTACATCTTACTGTGGATTGTAACAGTGTTAAAATTGCAGTGGAAAGGTTATATGAGTTGTGTTATCTTGTAAAAGCTAACTTCATATGTTTATTCATTTAATCTACACAGCTATGCTACAAGGAAAATACCATGAGTAACCCCATTTCACAGATGAGGAAGCAGAAGCTAACACTCATGTTAGGTAACATGCCTTTGAGGAGGCAGTTCCAGCGGCCACGAAATTCTGCAGCTTCTCAGTTCCAATGACAAAGAGCAGGTGATTAGGCACTTTTTTTGGTTCTTCCTTAGCAGGCAAAAGATGGAGGAATGGTTAAAGATGCTCAGAGAAAGTGTGTGTGGATAGTTTCTTTTGTTTTTGTTTGTTTTTAAACTACTTATCCCTTTATCTCTCTAACCCCAAGTCCTTCAATTCTGTCTCCATTTACTGTGCTCCAGTATCACATCATTCCAACTTGTCTTTGCAACTTCAGGTAAACTTCTGCATGTCTTCTGTACTAATAGGCCCATGCTACCATTACAAAATATCATAGACTTACTTATAGGGTCTTCGTTGCCAAGGCTGGAATGCAGTGGTGCAATCTTCACTTATTGCAGCCTCGACCTCCTGGGCTCAAGAAACCCATCAACTTCAGCCTTCTGAGTGGCTGGGACCACAGGCGCACACCATCATGCTCAGCTAGTGTTTCTTAAATTTTTTTTTTTTTTTTTTGTAGAGACGGGATCTCACGATGTTGCCCAGGTTGGTCTCAATCTCCTGGGCTCAAATGGTTCATCAGCTTCGGGCTGGGTCCCAAAGCATTAGGATTACAGGCATGAGTCACTACACTCAGCTGGATTGTACTTTTAAATGAGCTCATTTAAAAAGTGCCGCAAGTATGCTTTGCTGTAACCAGTGGTTTCATTTCCTAAATGCTGTATATAAGCACTTTTTTTCTGAGTTCTAGAGGAGCTAACCCTGATGAATAGAAGAAAAGATTCTTTTTGTTTTGCAAATCATACCCTTAGTCATCTGTTCTGCAAGCTTGGGCTTTTATGGATCCGATATTTTAAAACTATAATATAAATATATTTCAAATAAATTCTTTGAAGAAAGCAAATGACCAACTATTAATATCTGTGGTCACAGAGATGAATTTTCATATTTTTTAATAGACTAAAAAGGTAGAACACTTTTAGTCCCAATGACCAGTCTAAGTTTCAAGTTAATCAAAAAGAGATGCAAAATACTGCTCAGCCCAGCAGCAGATTCCTCATCCCTTGTCCAACAGAAACAGTCAACATTTGTTATTGAGAACTGCTGTGGTTTGAATGTGTCCCCCAAAGGTTATGTATTGGAAATTTAACCCCCAATGCAACAGTGTTGAGAGGTGGAAACTTGAAGATGTGATGGGGTCATGGGAGCTCTGCCCTCATGAACAGATGAATGCTGTTGTTTCAGGAGTGGGTTCTGATAAACGGATGAGGTTAGCCCTCTTTCTCTTGCCCTGGCTCTCCTGCTTTCTTGCCCTTCTGTCTTCTGCCATGGGATGATGCAACACGAAGGTCCTCGATGCAGGCACTTTGATATTGGACTTCCCAGCCTCCAGAACTGTGAAAAAAAATTCCTTTATAAATTACCCAGTCTTTGGTATTCTGTTATAGCAACACAAAGAAGGCTAAGACAAAGACTCAATAAATTACCCCAACTCAGAGTTCCTTGCTGCTATTCTTTGAAAATCTGTCTTCAGGTCTTTCACCAATAGGTCATTGGGTCTGACCCAAGTTTAGAGAACTATTTACAAAGAATCCTAACCAACCCAAGAGAGTTCTTGGTATTACAATGTCTGAATACCCTGATTTACTAAGCAAAATACACGAATTAATGCATGAATAGGAAGCTGTCTGTGACACATTAAGTCACCAGTGACTTGACCTTTCTGTCTTTTGAGAGAAAGGCAAAATTAGTTCTTACTTGGGCAGTGTCTATTTCCTCATTTCTTGTATAATCTTCTATTTGAATAGCTTTTTTTCCAGGTTTCAATGATGGATACATCTCTCAAATAATGTAGAAATATATATATATTTTGAGATGGAGTCTCACTCTGTTACCTAGGCTGGAGCACAGAGGCACAATCTCGGCTTACTGCAATATCCACCTCCCGGGTTCAAGTGATTCTTCTGCCTCAGCCTCCCGAGTAGCTGGGACTACAGGTGTGTGCCACCATGCCCAGCTAATTTTTATATTTTTAGTAGAGACAGGGTTTCACCATATCGGCCAGGCTGGTCTCAAACTCCTGGCCTCATGATCCACCTGCCTTGGCCTCAAAAGTCCTATTATAGAAATATTATTAATGAAAATCACTTATGTGTATTAAGCATTCAACATGCCAGGCATTGTCCTAAGCAATTCATGTGTTAACTCACTTAATACACACAGCTATGCTACAAGGTAAATATTATCATTAACCTCTTTTCACAGATGAGAAAGCAAAAACACACTCTTGTTAAGTAACTTGGCTTTAAGGAGGCAGTTCCAGTAGCTTAAACTCTAACCACCATATTCTGCAGCTTCCCAGTTCTAATGACATGAGCAGATAGTCATGCTGCTGGCAGGAGGCTTTTTATACAGAGGGAGCTAAGTTTTACGCTAAGAAAATTAACTTAGTTTCATTAAATGAGGAGGATTTTAGCAACTAAAAATTCAGTATGGCTGGCGCAGTGGCTCACACCTGCAATTCCAGCACTTTGGGAGGCCACGGTGGGTGCATCACAAGGTCAAGAGATTGAAACCATTTTGGCTAACATGGTGAAACCCCATCTCTGCTAAAAATACAAAAATTAGCTGGGCATGGTGGTGGGCGCCTGTAGTCCCAGCTGCTTGGGAAGCTGAGGTATATAATCTCTTCTACCCAGGAGGTGGAGGTTGTAGGAGCTGAGATCACGCCACTGCACTTCAGCCTGGCAACAAACTGAGACACTCAAAAAAACAAAAAACAACCCTTCAGTATGGTTAGAACCAACTTAGAACCTCTTGTAATCTTCTCAAAAGCAACTGCAATAGGTCTCAATTCATTGCAACTGAGCACACGTGTTATTTGCTATGGCTTTAGCTCTGGCTGGCAGAAGAACTAAGGCCATACTTAGAATGTGTCATTGCGCTAATTTTATTCTGTAAATAAAAGAATAACTGTTTACAATATTTTAAAACATCTTTCCTGGCCTCCTCTTAGCTACTTGCTCCATCGGCAGACTTTTCTCAGTCACTACTGACTATAGTTTTAGTCCTAGTGAATGGGAAGATTCTGCTTATATTGATTGTATATAATACTTTGTTATCCCGTAAAAGCTCTGCCCACTTTTACAAGGGGTCAAAAATATAAAAGACACACAAATGCTTTCCATCTGACAAGTCATGTTTTGTTTAAAATTTACTCTGCTAAACTGAGCTCATTTGGGTTGAGGAATTAGAACAGATTACAATGGATAAGGGAGGAAGGTAGGCAAAAAAAAAAAAAAAAGGAAACCTCCTGGAGGTTTTGAAATGAAATGCAAATCTGGAAGGGGTACATGTATATGTATCAGCAGGGGTGGGAGAGTGTCCTCAACTTTATTCATTCTTTCTCTAAGCAGTTTCTTCCATGTGAAACTGGGTCCTTCCTCCCCACGGACCGCAAGTATTTGATTTCTTGTCCCAGCCCAGATGGTGGAGTACGGTGACCATCAAGAGAAAAAGAAAAAGATCCAGTAAAAATAAAGGTCAGGGCGATGCAGACGCCTGCTGCCGCATGGGTTGGTAACAGCTGAAGAATCCGTGTTTGAAATGCCATGGTGGAAAGAAAAGTCACATCTGCCCAGAGGGCCTAGAAAATGTTACAGTGTTTTCCTGCACCCACCTTTCTGGATCTGTTGAATGTCACTCTCTACCACACTGACTCTGCATCAAACAGCTGAGACAGAGCTTTCTCATTTCTGAGTAAATGACCATGAGTAAAGATGGTCATGCTTTTAACATTTAGTGAGGGAAAATAATTTCATGACCTTGGGTGGATTGCCCTTTCAGACTGTCAACAGCCTAACAGAGGAAGCAAGTTGAAACGCTAAGGACAGATGATGAGACACATCAAAACTTCTCTCTAAACGCTAAAGAATGAAGAAAAATCCTAGCTTGGGGCATATTTATGTAACCGGATGTCAACACAGATTTCAAAACATCTTTTTGAACTGCTGACAGAGCAACAGTCATCTGCTGGGTATTTTAGTGGAAGAGCCTAAACAACACCTCCCTGGTTATAGAGGTGCCTGCATCAGAGACTAGTATCTGCTATTTACAATGTGAGAACAGAGACAGGTCAACTTCTCTAGGTTTGTTCATCTCTTAGACGATGATAAAGCCTTTCTGTTAGTGGTCTTGTGAGGATTCAATAAAATATGCACATTGCCTGATTTAGCAGTGCCCCTGTCTCCTGCCGGCTGGGTAACGGACAGATTGTGTAACTTCACAGTTTCTTTATCTGTAAAATAGAAATAACTCACTTTCCTGGTTGGCTGTGATACAAGTCAAATGTCCATCTGGCATAGAGTCAGAGCTATTACTATTGTTACTTATATTGTCTAATTCACTTTTTTTTTTTTTTTTTGAGATGGAGTCTTGCTCAGTCACCCAGACTGCAGTGCAGTAGTGCGATCTTGGCTCACTGCAACCTCCACCACTTGGGTTCAAGTGATTTTCCTGCTTCAGGCTCCTGAGTAGCTGGGATTATAGGCACGCACCACCATGCCAGCTAATTTTTAGATTTTTAGTAGATATGGGGTTTTGCCATGTTGGCCAGGCTGGTCTCAAACTCCTGACCCCAGGTGATCCTCCTGCCTCGGCCTCCCAAAGTGCTGGGATTTACAGGCCTGAGCCACTGCACCCAGCCCAATTCAGTTCGAATATCACCTTTTATCTTCAGAAATGGAAACATATAATCCTCTAAAGAACAGTAGTTATTTAGGATTGATAAGTGGAAGGTGTAGACTTGAATTCATGTGTCAGCTACTTCTAAGGCAGAGATGAAAATGCTCTCTTCAACTGGATTTCCTACCTTGATGATAAATTAATAGCAAACTCTGATTATGCATATTTATCTCCAGGGAGTACTAGGCACCATGCTGACATAATCTTCACAACATTCTGGGAAGTGGAGATGATGAGCGATTTAAACACCATCTTCAGGGACATGAAGGGTTATCATCAGGACAGTAACCAGCGGTTTCCTTCATAACCAAAGCCCGATAGGTAACAGGCCTAAGCTGAAGGAAACAGTTGAATTAAACCCTAGGAGATACATCTTCAAGTTTTCATTCAGGCAGAACCTCATTTCAGTTTTCAATTTTAATGTATTTATTTATTTTTAGACAGAGTCTGGCTTTGTCACCCAGGCTGGAGTGCAATGGTACGATCTTGGCTCGCTGCAACCTCTGCCTTCTGGGTTCAAGCAATTCTCCTGCCTCAGCCTCCTGAGTAGCTGGAATTATAGGCACACACCACCACGCCTGCCTAATTGTTGTATTTTTAGTAAAGACAGGGTTCTACCATGTTGGCCAGGCTGGTTTTGAACTCCTGACCTCAAGTGATCTACCTGCCTCGGCCTTCCAAAGTGGAGAACCTCATTTTAAAGTATTGAAATAGCATTACTTACAGTTTTTCAATGGCAAATTGAAAAAAATATATTTCTTTACATTATCTATGCAGCTTAGTGTAACACCCGTGTGATTCCTTTGAGTAGGTCTTTCCCCTAAAACTACTCTAGCTAATTTTCATGCTGGGCTACCTGGCAGTTTTCCAGAAGCATTCTGAAAAGACTCAAAATGGGCAGGTTATCCCACAGTTGACTGAACTTTAAGCAACTAAACCAGACTCAGCCTGAAGGTTAACAGAATGGGAGAGTTTAGCTACCTGAGCACGTGAAGGGTGTCAATGAGTGAAGGGCTTAGCACAAGTGCATATGCCATTGGGGCAGTTATAGACCTTCAAAATCTCACACTCCTGGGAGGATGACCTATATTGCCATCGCCTCTTCGAGCAGCCCGCAATGACTGTGGCTTTTTTCTGCTCTGTAGTTGCTATGGTGACATGGAAGGCATGCCTGCCAGCAGGAGCAAATGGGGATTGGAAGTTGGGCTAAAACACAAGCACCAACAAAATCCCCAATTCCTTCCTCTCCCACTAGAGCCCAGCAGGAGGCTGATGGGAAAGGCACAACCCAGTGGGGGTAGAAACACCATTTCTGATGACTGATTTGTTCTTCGTAGGTGTGTTATATAGGACAATGCTTCTCAGACTTTAATTTGCCTATACCTGGACACCATCCTGTTAAAACACAGGTTTTTATTCGATCAGTCTGGGGAGGGATCTGAGATTCTGCATTTCTAACAAGCCCCCAGTGCTGCTACGGCTGTCCAGGCTTTGATTAGGAGGTCTTTAGGATTTGTTGCATGTATCAGAGCCCCCAAATTAATCGTGGCTTAAACAGGACAGAGGTTTATTGCTCCTTTATATGACCCTGGTCACCAGGGGCCCAGACTTTTATTGTGCTGCTGTGCCACATTGATTTGTTGCCCTGGTCT